CAAACAAATTTTAAATATAGTATAACTGTTAATATTTTATTATTTGCATGTCCAGTAAAACAAAATGAATTACGTATATTATTATTATCCTCTGTAATTCTATATTATTCATTTCTTAATTAAATATTTATGTTTAATTTATGTTTCATTCCTGAATTCGTAATAACACTTAGTTTAATGATAATGAACTTATTATTACTGTCATAATTATCAACTATTTGTTTGTTTTCTTTTACTTTATTCATTATTATTTCTTCAAGTATTAACCTGTAATTTTTATTTGACTTTTAATAAGATTGTGTATAATGTCATTCATTCTTCTGCGCTGTGCTGTGTCTGTAATTGGCCTTGCGGCTGTTGACTCGGCACATTAATAATAAAGAATTGAATTGAATTGAATTGAATTGAATTATTATTAGTGTCACTGTTCTTTTATTGTTATTGTTATTTCTCGTTAGTTCCCCTCTTGGTGTTTGCTGTAGCTGGGATAACTCAGTGAGCGTAGTGCTATTTAGACTGTGCGCTGGATAACTAATAAATAGTGGTTAATTGACTCATTTGAAGCTGCAGTACCAAGAAACTTCATCCCAGGGGGAAAAAGAGTAAATAAATAAATAATAGTTTGGTTGGAAGGGGGCACACAACATGCAAATTGGCAGAAGTGCGAATATGATGATATCAAAGTTTTTCCTTATAAATTAAGAAAAGTGTGCTGTGTTCATTTATTTATAGAAAAATGCTCTAAAATGAAAACCGAAAATAAGAGATGCACAGAAACTACTGCATTGTGTTTCTTAATGCCAATAGGGTCTGCTTGAATCGTCCATAAAAATCACCAATGAACCACCTTCTGGTATGCTGGCAAATCTACACAAGGCACTTGACAATTTCAACCAAGAGACAATGGAAATGTGCAGCAAGGAAGCTGAATTCAAGGCAATATTATTCGTCCTCTGCTACTTCCATGCAGTTGTTAATGAGCGCAGAAAGTTTGGTGCCCAGGGCTGGAATAGAATCTATCCATTCAGTGTTGGTAAGAATCTGGTGACCTTGAATGATGTACTGGTTTGACCAGAATTCTTTTCTAGTGAGTTGTAAGACTCAGTAAGTTATATGTAAACCACTTCAAAAGTAAGTCCGAAGCAGTGAAGTACTTTTATTTCAGATTATTTCTAGCGTGTAGCCTTAGAAATGAAAGTTCCACAGTTCCAGGTAGCAGGAAATGCAGATAAACCACAATCCCTCATTACTAAATGATATTTTTCCTTTTTAAACGTAGAATTGAAGAACAATGCATATTAACTGCCCAAAGAAATTGATATTTCAACTTCAGTGTTGGGAAATTAATCTATATGAACTTTTTGTACCAAATGTTTCTGGTTCCACCGTCATACATGCAACGTATCTTTCGCACATCACGTAACTTTTAACATCTTTCACTACATGTTTCGACCAGTGTGGTCATCATCAGGTGTTTAAAATAATAGTTGAGGAAACTGCTGTGCTTCTGTTGATGTGGCTTCTGTTATTAATTTTTTTTAATGTACGGTCCCCACTATGTGCATGTGTGTTCCAAGTGATGGGTTGTACTTTCTGTTGTGTTGTGCTCTGTGCCTTTTTTTAAGGATGCTTTTTGTTTAACATTATTATCTCTATGTAAGATTTTAGGCTTTCATGGCAGTGACTATGAAGAAAGCAGTCTTCTGGGATTTGGCACTGTGTATATTTGGTGTTAACTGACGTTTTGAGGAACGTATCGCCTCCATCTTCAGGGTAGAAGGAAGACTGGTGTCTGCTTTTACCGGTTCTCACGGTCTCTTCGCTTGCAGATTTCTTATATTTTTCCTTCTATCCTGAAGATGGAGGCGATACATTCCTCCAAAACGTCAGTTAAGACCACATATACACGATGCCAAATCCAGAAGACTGCTTTCTTCATTATTATCTCTGTTCAAAAAAAGTGTCAGGGACATACCATATCGCTCAAAAATAAAACAACCCTTGTTCCTGTGGGCTGTGATCGCATTTCGTCTTGTAGAACAGTATCAAAGCTTTGGAAGAACATGCCTTCGCTTTTTAAGGACCACATTTTCTTCCTATTTCTCTCTCAGTATTCTCATTCTTATTGGTTCACTCAGGACCCAGTTCACATTTCTTCCTCTTCCTAAATCCACACACACTTCTTTAGCTCACATCATGTGGTCTTGTAGGCAGTCACCATTGTCTTAGAAGAACATGCAGCCTGTGTCTTCAGGGTAAAAAGTGGAGGCAACAGATTTGCTGAAATTAGTAACCACTTGGGACAACATGTCATCATAACCAATAAGGCCACAATGTAAATTTTCAGCATCATAAAAGCCTAAATTATTGTTACCAATGTTGTCTTGATTTTAGGTGATCTTACTATTAGTGTCAGTGTCCTGTACAACTACTTGGAGAACAGCTCGAAGATACCATGGGAAGACATGCGGTACCTCTTTGGTGAGATTATGTATGGAGGCCACATTACGGATGACTGGGACAGACGATTATGCCGCACATTCCTACAAGAATGGCTGCAGGTAAACTGAGACCTTCATTATACTTCTTTCTACCGGTTCTTCTAGAGAAGACAAAAACCTGTAATAGTTGTTACAGAAATCCAAGCAGAGATGTACATTTTGAGTAGAGTCTCAAAATGCAGTGAACTGCAATAGGATGAAAGAAATGTTAGAGGCAATAAAGCATGAATGGTGGACACCACCTGAAAACATAGGTATAAATACAAGATTACAGAAAAATTCTTATTTACCTTTTCTGTAAGGGACAGTGTAGTTGAACATGAGGTGTCAAAAGGTTCACTTACGATTACTGATGGTGAGAATTATTATCTGAGGAGGTATCTGTACATAATGTCACAGTTATGGATGTTAAATAAATCAATCAATCAATCAATCAATCTCAGTGTTTCAGTCTCTGCGTGTACTGGATTGCTCTTGTTATGAGTACAGCATGTTTCATCTATGGGATTTATGTTGAACTACATGTCATGTGCAGATTATTTTGCAGTACTGTCAGAAGCTGTACCATATAGCACTGAATGGTAAATCAGAATGGATTTGGAATGACCTAATCAAGGTACTATCCTGACATTTGTCTGGCAGGTCTGAGTAGAATCACGTTATACCTAAGATGGATAGCCAGTGTCCTGCCCCAGATCCAAATCGAGCATCTCCCAAATACCAGTATAGAGTAACACCTCTTATGATATTAAAAAAGGAATCTTCCAGAAATATATTTTGAAGATACAACCACGTTCATGAGTACTGCCAGGAGGTTTTCTTGGGATTCTTGCTTAAGGGTAAAACAGCTAGTCTGTTTGTTTGTTCATGCATTTAGGAGTATGTCAGTGATGACATTATCTGCCTAGATAAGAATCGCAGTGGATCATCCTTTATGAAATCCAGTACAAAATTAATTAAAAATGTGCCTGTCTCAGACTGTGAAGTGGTCTAACACTTTCTTAAAAAGTAAAGTTGTCCCTTTACCTAGTTAATTAAGCACCATGCCATGAAGATGTGTGGAGGTATAGCTACATTATTCTTGATCTCAGCACTAGATTGAGTGAGTAGTCAGCTCTAAGCCCCCGGTTTTTCGTCCTTGGAGAAAGAGCCCCAGGTACCCATTGGATACAAGGGTGGGTGGACCCCAGAGCCAGTCTGGATACAGTAGAGAAGAGCCAAATCTTCCAATACTGGGAATCAAACCTGGGCCATCCAGGCTATGGCCTGTCACTATACCAACTGAGTTATCCGAACTCCTCTTGCTTTAAAGCTCAATAGAGACAACTATATATATTGTATTAAAATATTTCAGTAAATCAGGCAATATGTGCCTCAGTAACAATCTTAAAACAACACTAACATCAATCTTATGCCAAAATTAAGAATGAAGTAATCTCTTCCTACATTGTCCCTTATATCTTCACGGTGTGTTACCTAAGCACAGGAACAATTCTACCCTTTTAGCTTTACATATGCACAAGTTCTTTAAGAACAAGTATATTTAGTTGTATTAATTACAGGCATGGTGATAGAGTGAAACATTTGGGTCATATCTGACAAATTTAATGTATAATCTCTACAAGTGTAATTTATGTTATTATTAATTCATATTATCTTCAAGATTCACCATAATCTTTGAAGCATTTCAAGGAAAAATAGGCACTGTAAGTTCTTCCCAGAACATGTTATGGCACATGGTAGAAGTTTTGAGGTTTTTACAGCAATAATTATTTCAAGATTATGGGTTTCTGCATTGCAATACTGTACAGTTTTGTGGGTGGATACCAACATTTCAGTTGTTACCCATTTCTTCCCACTTGCTTGGACCAAGTTCCTTTATTTACCACCCCCTTCTTGGGTCCCATGACCATCTTCCTTGTAACTTTACTATATAACAAAGCCTATTCCTGAACCTACACTCTTCAAATGTGAAGTTGGAGGCAGCGGTTTCCTCCAAAATGTTTATATCCCCCCACAAAACTACAGGGTGTGTTGATCTGCAGGATGGACTGTTAGATACTGAGTTATTGCTGGCACCAGGATTTCCTGCCCCTCCAAACATGGATTACACAGGATACCACAAATATATTGATGATGTCTTGCCTGATGAGTCACCGTATCTGTATGGCCTACATCCGAATGCAGAGATTGGTTTCCTTACGACTGCCTCAGAAACTTTATTCCGGACAGTGTTTGAGATGCAACCACGGGATTCTGGAGCTGCAGGAGCCACAACTGTTACACGAGAGGAGAAGGTCTGTGGAATAATGTACATCCTCATCTAATGACCTTGCAGGCAGTTAAAGAAAGTTTAGTACAAAACCAGCAGGAAATACTAGGTTCAAATGTCAGCCCAGAGATCACCTATTATTGAAATATTTTGCTGTGCACCAGAAGCTTGATGTGGAAAACAACCATTTTTAATCTCCTTAAAATTTATTCTGAAACTATTTTTTGGTCAATATACCTCTTGCTCTCAAGTGTTTTATTTGTTTATTTGTAGTTTATTGAATGATGTCAGAAACTGAGACTGTATATCATCAGATGTTCAGATGATAGTGAATAATGAATTACAAAGGATGTGAGAAGTAGTGGTCATGCCCTAATTTAAGGTACTATCCCAGCATTTATCTTGAGGGACTGAGAAAAACCATGAGACACCTCAGTCAGGCTAGTCATTATTCTGGTTGACAAGCAACCCCCACACCTGAATACAGGTTAGAAGTTTTACTGCTTGAAACAACTTGCCTCATAATCTCAGAGTGAGACTTAATGTTTCCATTTTCAGTGGTAACTAAATTTTTATCTCACAGTAGGTGTTATGTGTAATCATTGTAAACATGACAAGATACTAATACCTCAGTTACTTTCTTATTTTAAAACAAATTTTATTTACTCCATGGACAGGTAAAGTTGTACAAAAACGGTTCTTTTGTGCCGTTTTGGTCCATGTTTGATAATGTAAAAAATATCTCACATACTCCCTGATAGGCTTCACATATCATGTGGGATACAAATATGCAAGGTTTGGAACACTAGCATTAAAGGGTTCATGGTGTATAATGTGGTGTAATATCTCAGGTGAAACAGGTGCTGGAAGAGATAAATGACAAGATTCCAGAGCCATTCAACATCCCTGAGATCATGGGGAAGGTTGAGGAAAGGAGTCCATACATCATAGTTGCATTCCAGGAGTGTGAACGTATGAACGTTCTTATGGCTGAGCTGAAACGTTCCTTGAAAGAACTAGACCTTGGGCTGAAGTTAAGTATAATGCCTATCTATCTCCTGCCCATAGAAACTTCTTTAACACTTTTACAAAGATAGATAGCATGTTATAAAATCCTTTCATTCATTCATTTCCTTTATTTTCCATATATCCATACAAGTAACAAACCTAGGATGTGGAAATAGTCCCTTTGAGAATAGATATATCAAGATACATATACAGAATTGTATGGTGGTCAGGCACCATGAGAACCACATATTTCACATATGCACGAAACATACTTTGTCCTCATCATCATGCAAATGCTCAGCTTGCAAATGTGCATACATATGAATGGCATAAGAACATGTTCCCATAAGGAATAATTAAAAATTGTTTATTGAAGATTACCAAACATGTTAGGAATGTGTGAACAGTGAAGTCTGAGGCCCAAAAACTACTCATAGTATCTGTATCTTTGTTTTAATTCCATAGATCCTTATTGGCTACCAAAGCCATGAGATATAGAACATGTCACATTAGTCCTGAACACAGAACTAGTCACCTTACAACTACATTCATAAGAGAAACAATAATTATACATAATTCAATAATATAACAAGCATATATGACTATCAACTTGACAGTACTACTTTATTGAGATAAGAGCAGAAATATATAAACATATATCAGATTATAATAAATTAATTTATACAATGTACTGTATAAACAACATTATAAAGGGTTTAATTAATCTTGTATTTAAAATATTTGTCTAATGAATAAAATGAATGGAAGTACATAAAATGTTTCAAGGCTGATGCATTGAAAGCTTATATGTCCCACTTTGAATTCCTGTCAACAGGAAAGTTAACATTTTAAAAACGTTGAGTACAAGAGGCTAAATAATTTATAACTGTTGTGTTGGACATCAGAATGTGACAAAATGGCAGATGTTATGTATTTATCAGACCGTATTGAGGGGTTAAATTGACTGACATAATATTACAGGGTGAACTGACCATCACAGAAGAAATGGAAGCCCTAGAATCATGCCTTTTCTTGGATCAGGTGCCTCCAAATTGGACAAAACGGGCCTACCCATCCATGCTGACATTGGGCCCCTGGTTTGCTGATCTGATGCTGCGACTAAAAGAACTGGAGGCCTGGACATCTGACTTTAATGTATGCTTTTGCTGTTGTTCTTGTTATGGTGGCAGGGACAGCAGTGTTGCCATGTTCTGTCTGCAGATTGCATAATATATTGATGATTACTGTCATCTGGAATGTGACGTATCCCTGAAGACAGTAATGTTCAGAGTCACTGCTCTGAGAATCTTGAATTTCACATAAATAATATATTTTTTTCAGTGCGTGAGATGAGGAAGGCTCAGTTAGTATAGTGACTGGGTTTCGGCTAGAGGGCCAGGTTCAACTCCCAGCTGAAGCATATTTTTCTTCACCTTATCTGGACTGACCATGGGTTCCCTGCCAATTGCATGTCCAGTGGGTTGTAGGGGCTGAGTCCTGAGGGCTGAAGCAGCTGGAGTACAGAACTGATTATTTTCCCACTAACTGCATGAAGGTCATGCCACAGCTCAAGCAGTTAGTCACTGGCTTTCCACCTCAGCGTCCAGGTTCGATCCTGGGTCGGTCATGTGGGATTTGTGGTGAACAAAGTGGCGCTGGGGCAGGTTTTCTCTGAATACTTCGGTTTCCCCTGCCAATCTTCATTCCATTAATTGCTCCACAATCACCCTCGCCTATCATCTGGGGCTGGTACAATAGGCCAGAAGTGGCCGCAGCACAAGGGACTTAGTCGCACCCCACTAGCATTAAAAAAACTGCACTTAAGGCAGGAAAAGAATGAACACAGTTGCTGTCAATTCAAATCAGCTACCTGCACCCTTTCTACATCACCTACTTTCCCTCTGCAAACACCAATAACAAACAGAGCAAATACAAGTGACAATTTATGGCCATGCAAGATGTTCAGAGACAAGGTAGATGCTAGACAAATGAGTGGGGAGGGATCTGCTTTAATTTTTACCCTAACATGACCTTAGAGAGGGGTGAGATTTCAGGTTCTTAAAGTGATGAACATGAAAGTTATTGCCTCCTGGGATGTGACATTGTGAAGTCAGGTAGATATGTTCTAACAGTTTGTTGGGGAAAACTGCTGCCTTTATCATTAGGGTAGAACATTCACTCATTAATGGTTTAGTGCATAGGAACAGGGAGAACATTTTACTTTTATTGTTAAGTTACTAAATTATTATTCCTTGATTCCAGCTTCCAGCAACTGTGTGGCTAGCAGGGTTCTTCAATCCTCAATCCTTCTTGACGGCCATTATGCAGTCAACAGCTCGTAAAAATGAGTGGCCATTGGACAAGATGTGTCTCCACTGTGATGTGTCCAAAAAACATAAAGATGAATTTACGTGAGTAAAATGCCAGAGAGATGATAGATGTCATTGAATGGATAAACTTCACAAGAGGGAACATAATAATATATTCACATCCCCTAATTAATTATGATTAATAATCCTTTAAATCTGGCTGTAGTGCATGTACTATGATGCCTGCCTTGCCAGGAAGCCAGCAGTGGTACATTTTCCACAATAACTTTAAAAATGTACAGTAAAATCTACCTCACATTTCAACATAGAAGTCGTACGTTTTGACAGTTTTATGATGCAGCAATAGAGGTCTCTGCATAATAATGTGGAATACTGCCATGCAGTCAGGCATTGCATTTACTGCTATCTTTCTGTTAGTATTTCCATGAATGTCCCCAATGTTCAAACTTTTATTATATTGAAACATGTGTTGAGATCAAGGCTACATCACATACTGTTCTAAGAATACTTTGCCATGCACCTGAACAATATACAGTTCAACTGTATTTCATAATATTCGTGGCATAAACATCATTGCATTCTTGAATGTAGATATCTTTGTTCTTTATTCTCCATGTTGGTGCAACATTTTCCATACATGGGCAAAAATTTCACAATTTATGTACCAGTATTGATGAAATTATTATTTTAATTCCATGCCCCATTCATCCCTCCGCACAGGAGAAAGGGGTATTTAAATGAAACGAGCTACAAAATATTGAAAATCCTACGAAGGTTTGTGATAAGATTGGTACATCCTACAGATATTCTGTTATACATTAGCCCTTGTCTCGTGTATATTTTATGTGTATAATGTTTTGGAAACTGGATTCATTCCCATCATCAGGCATGAGAAGGCAAAAGTCATACTCTTCTTCTTCTTCTTCTTCTTCTTCTTCTTCTTCTATGGTGCAACAGCCCGATGTCGGGCCTTGGCCTCCCTTATCAAGCCCCTCCATTCCTCTCTGCCGTGCGCTGCTCTCTCCCAGTTCCTTACACCCATTCAATTCTTTGCATCTTCTTCCACTGCATCAATCCATCTAGTTCTTGGTTTCCCAGCAGTCCATATTCTTTGCCAATTGTCATTTTCCATTCTGTTGAGGTTTCCGAGGCTTGATTCCAGGTTTCGAGACATTTATATTTTTTATGGTGAGAGGTTGTCAGCCTCTTGCCCAACCCCCACTCTGGAGGACCAGGGTATCTCTTTTAGTCTGGGTCATCCCCTTCAACCTGTCCGGCATGGGTGGCCCTACCAGTAGCTATGCTGCCGCCAACATAGCTCTCAGGGTCATTTGACCATGCAAGCCCCTCCACTACGTCAAAGTAGAGACACCATCAGGGAGAAAGTCATACTCTAGTTGGGCCTATTAGAGAAGGTTAATTGGAAAGACTGGACCTTAAATAGTTGACAGTAGCCAACCTAATATTCATATAATCTTTATTAAATTAAGCAAAAGGTGCCATAATGTCAAAATTAATTTCTTTAGTTAATTTTAAGCACGGGGGGAAGACAGAATCCCTTGGTACTGCAGCCCCAAATGATCGTATTTTACCAGCCCTTAATGACAGATGACTGTAGAACACTGGTAAAAGGTAAAGTTGTCCCTGTGCTTAACTAATTTAGCACTGTGCCATGTAGGTGTATAGATACATGTTTTGTTGACCTTGGCAGTAGCTGGAGGTGAGTGGTCAGCTTCACGCCCCGGCCGCTTTACTCCTTGGGAAACAGCCCCCCTGCCCTATACCCCATTTGTTAGGAGGCTGGGTGTGCCCCAGAGCCAATCTGGACAACTTGGAGGAGAGAAAATTCTTGACCCTACTGGGACTTGAACACCAAACCCTCCATTGATGGAACACTGGTGGAATGATAATTAATTGGCAAGGGAGAACTGGAGTGCTCAGATAAACCTGCTCCATTGCCACTTTATCTGCCGCAAATCCCACATGAATTACACTGGGATTGAACCTGGACCTCCACTGAGGATCCCAACTTGATGAAATGTAGAGAAACAGGTTTTGATGTGAGGTGGGTGGAACTGGCTCAGGATAGTGGTGCTGGATCTTCAGCTTTTACACTAGAGAAGTTAGTATGCAGAATGGCTGTACCCTAGCTCAGGCAGTTAGTCACCATCTTCCCACTGCAGCAGGCCAGATTCAAGTCCAAGTCAGATCATATGTGATTTGTGGTGGACAAAGTGGCACTGGGGCAGGTTTTCTCCGAGTGCTTCGGTTTCCCCTGCCAATTCTCATTCCACCAACTGCCCCACATTCATCATCATCTATCATCTGCAGCTGGTAGGATAGGCCAATTAGTAGCCAATGTACCAATTGGACTCAGTCTCACCCCACCCCAAGAAACTAAAAAGAAACTAGTATGCAAAATATCTCTTAGGTTCTACATTGCTATATTGTTATGTTATAGGTCAGCCCCTCGTGAAGGAGCATATGTGCATGGTCTGTTCATGGAAGGTGCACGCTGGGACATTCAGACTGGTTCTATCATGGAGTCTCGACTCAAAGACCTGTTCCCAATGATGCCCGTGATTTACATCAAGGCAGTCACGCAGGATAAACAGGAGCTGCGAAATATGTACGAGTGTCCTGTGTACAAGACACGTATCCGAGGCCCAACATTTGTCTGGACTTTTAATCTAAGGACAAAGGAGAAAGCGGCTAAGTGGACAATGGCTGGAGTAGCAATTCTGCTACAGATTTAGATTTTCGCTTGTTGATCACTAGTTATTTCATTCAAGATTATAATCTTAGTACCTGTCATTTCCTGTGATTGCTGTTTTAATTAATGATATATGAATGTTAATCAGTAATAGTCTCTAAATATTGTTCAAATATTTGAATTATTATTTTAAGAAATTCAGATTTGCTGTCATACTGAATTCCTGCGTACTTATTACTTGGCTGTATGCCCCTCTAAGAACCTTAGTACTGTCTGTGTGGACCAGGGGCTACCATTAGTCTGGTGCTTACCTTTGATCTGCCTAGTAGTGGTAACCACCATGAGCTTATACCCTCACTAGCATAGCTCAGGGTGATCAGGACATGCAAGCTGCTCCACTGCCTACTGTATTAAGGTTGCAGCCCAGAAGGAATGACTCACTACGTCCTCATATTATGATGCATCCTGTTCTATAAATCACTATAGATAATATTTATCATATTCTTTGTTGACAGAACAAGAAATATGATAAATATCACTTGTTCTTTCTTCTTTCTCCAAAATTTATAGCAGAATCACCAGTGTACATAAACTAGAAAGCTTTATATTTTCTTTTACAGAAACACAGTACACAAATAAGGATTCATATGTTGAGATTTCTCCATTTTACTGATGATAGAAATGAACCTGATCAGGAAAATAAAAATTTTTGACAGTGAAGAATAAATAAACGAAAATTAAACATTATGCCCCATTTGAATCTCTGAAGAAATAGAGACTCACTGGGAAACACCAAACAGTATTTCTGAGAATGCAGGCATTCTGATGAAAAAAGTTATGGAATACTGTATTCTATTGACATGGGGACCAACCCCTAGTTGCCCTATAAGCTCTCAGGCTTCTATTGGGTCCATTGTGTGCCTCCATTATAGTTCCAGCTCTTAAGGAGCCTTGACCTTACATAGACACAAAACACTCTGGAGTGAGACCTGTCTAATTTCCATTGATCCTAACCATGCAGAGCCATGGCTACCCAAGTTTGGCACTGAGACAATATACAAATGGTGTGGCCACCACATTCGCCTAACATGAACCCAATCGAGCATTTATGGGACGTAGTGGAGAGGTCCATTCGCACCCAAAATCCTGCGCCTACAAAGACCAGGGAGCTGTGGGCGGCTATACAGACAGCATTGCTCAACATCTTTCCAGAGGTCTTCCATCCACTTGTGGAATCAATGCCACGTCGAGTTGCTGCACTTCGCCGGGCTAGAGGGGTCCTATAGGTACCTATCCCATGACTTTTGGCACTTCAGTATAGTTATGAAATATACTCATAGTGATTCTAGCACATTATTCTCAGAATTACAGAAAAGTGTGCTGGGCATAAACTGAGTGTTTTATTTTCCTCTTTAATGTTTGTTTGAAGCACTTTTACCTCTGGTAAACGTTAATCGAGTTATGCTGAAGATGTGTGCAGAAATGCATATAAAGTGTCCTGTTATTTTTGTTGAAGTTAATCAAAATTTAAATATATGTCAGCAAATTTTAATAAAACTTTACAACAACAAATTTCATGAAAATTAGTTCAGAAATTCTCAAGAACAGATCAGCAGAGAGATATAGCAAATCTAGTGGGAGCATTCTTGCAACTTTTCATTGCAACTGTGCCAAAAATCTATCATGCTACCTTGTGTCCTTGAGGAGAACATGGATGGATAGTAATTTCATATCAAAGCTGACCATGATATCATCCAGGCCCATCACCAGTGAGATGATATGGTCTGACTGAAATCACTGGAATTCTGAAATGGTGTGGTATATTCAAGAATTATGGTGTCAGGTATTTAGCAAGCTGCTTCGATTGATAAGTGGGTGTGAGGATGATATAAACTAAAGATCTAAGGTGCATTCTTTCCTTCTGAATTTTATGAAGGCTCTACAGTATGGTGGAAGTGGATGAACAAGGCTCGAATACTGTCTTTAGGTCTTCATCCACCATCTGTGGTTCAGCCGTGTAGTGTATCATTCCAAATTCAGTGCGGGATCTGCCTGGAAAGGCTTCTAGGCCAGACCTGACATCCACCCTTCCTTCTCAAATGGAAATGCTAGTTGGTGGTTACCACCATGGCATTGCCTTGTCTGCTGGCAGTATGGTTAGGTTGTCCACTTTCAGTCCCTTGAGTGCAACATGATCACGCCAGACCATATCAGATGGTCAAAGTTTTGGCATGTCAGACAACCATACATCCACCAGCACAGTCAGGCAGGACTTGTTGAGATTGCAATAGAGTCGATTAGGTTACAATGATACATCTACCTACTGCACACCAATATGTGTGTTCAAAATGAGAGAGGTTGGGCTTTGCATGCTTTTTTTTTTTTTGCTTGTGGGGTGGGACTAAGTCCCTTGTACTGCTGCCACTTCTGGCCTATTGTACCAGCCGCATATGGAAGGTGAGGGTGATTTTGGAGCAATTGGTGGAATGAAGATTGGCAAGGGAAGCCGAAGTACTCGGAGAAAACCTGCTCCAGCGCCACTTTGTCCACCGCAAATCCCACTTGACCACACTCAGGATCAAACCCAGGCCGCCGCGTGGGAAGCCAGCTTGAGCTATGGTGCAGTCCTGCCTGCTGCTTTCTTGCGTGGCTTGCTCTTTGACACTGAAAATGGAGGTGATATGTTCCTCTAAAGTGTCTTTTGACTATCACCAGACTACACAGTGTTATATCTCAAAAGATTTAATTCATCATAGTCACTGCTAGGAGAACCACAAATACACCAGATGGGGTTAAGTTTTGCCAAGTTGATATAGAATAGTTCTGTCTTCTGAGAGATAACAACACATAGACTAGTAAAAAAAAAGACATTATATGGTCCATATTTTTCGCAATTGTTTAAATGATAGAAAATATCTCATTTTTTTTAATTTCTTCAAACTTCCCATTTTTAAATTACAAAATTTTTAAAAAGTTGTTTACATTTTCAAAATCTTTCAAATTTTTGTGTCAAAGGCTTTAGAATTATCGAAAATGTTCGAAAAAATAAACTTTGAAGTTAAAAAGTAAGTAAAATCTGTAACATTTTCTAAGATGTTCGCATTTTTCAAAGAGTTTAGAATTTGTAAAATTTTCAAATACCCAGACTATGCAGAAGATTTCTAAATTTTTGGAACTTTTCAATTTTTTTATATTCTTAAAAATCGAAAATTGAGAAATGTTTAAATGAGCCAAACTTGTACAAATTTTCAAATTTTTTCAATAAGTTTTAAATATTTTTAATTTTAGAATTTTCAGAATGTTTCCATCTGATAATTTCATCAGTTAGGTTAGTTTAGTTTGGGTTACATAAAGTTAGGATACATTAAGCTCTTAAAGTTTGTGATGATAGTGCACTAATGCAAATATTATGTTTCTGGACAAGTCCTATCTTTATCTAAAAACACCATCCTATTTATTTTTCGAAACACAAAGGAAAATAAACAGGACGGTGATGAAGACAGGACGATGGATAATGCCCAGAAACATAATATTTGTATTAGGCTACATTGTTCCATCAAACCATTGCACACCCATGTGCATATTCGGAGAGAGCATTGTTAAATTGGATTAAGTTGTGTTACGTTAGGTTTGCGCAGAGTGTGGTGCGGTCAGATACAGTTAGGTTAGCGCATACTGTTCTGTATCTGGATAAATGTGTTACCTTTTTTCAGTAACAATACCATATAGCGTTGGATGGTATGGATTTACATAACTGATGCATTAGAAAGGATTTGCAAGGAAGCAGTCATGGCGTAATCGATGTACATTCTCGGAATTTTGCAGGAGGAACTAGGGAAAACCACGAAAGCTCTCAGTCAGGATACCCAGTGTCCAAGCCCAGCTTTGAACCGAGTACAAGTGTAGAGCGTTACATTTAGACCAACCTGTTCAGTCAAATATGTTAGTACGCTCTTTTGAAACATTTGCTGTTAGAATAGTGTTCGTCTGATATAGTAAGTTCATTAGAGAGGACACGAGAAACTGTTACATCGAAGTTATCTTCAAGAATAAGAGTGGATTTCTTAAATCCGATGTGTTTGTTTTCCGTGGGTAATATGAACTGTAAAATTTCGTGGAGAAGATTGCAGTTTCAAATACGCGGCAATGTTGGATCAGACGTGACGTCATGCGCAGGAGATACTGTTTTCCTTCTTGCGTAGGTACTCCTATATCGCAAAACCGTGTGTATGCGGTCCTGATGTACATGATGATTTGTATCATATTTTGTAAAGTATGAAAGCGAAAACATGTCGGTTTTGAGAGTAAACACATCACTATTCATTATATGCAACTGCATTTGATATACGCTTACAATTTAACATGTGTGAATATTTCTGGGAACCTCTCGCAGAAGTTCAACTAAGCCTAGCTGGACGTCCAAGTGAAGAAAACATCTATTGTCTCTGTAGCAGAGTATTTATTCGGTAACATAACTTGGGTTATTGTTTTGAGTTATGCTGTAAGTCTTTGTCAATATAGTATGTGTATAACACCATTGGCATTGCTAATGATTTATTTAGGTACGCCCTTTCTGCGTTTAGGTTATGTTTGAAGTCAACTGTCATATGGTATAACGTTAAAACAGTGATCTGTATGGTTCAAATAAATTGTGTATTTGGTAGATTTTTAGAATTTTGTTTCCATAATTTTGTACTTGTTATGTCCTGAGTTTTTGACACAGGAACACCTGCTTTACAATGTTCGTAATGGACTTTTAAATAATATTGATTGATATATTTTGGTTGGTATTAACATGTGGTCTGCAAACTTGGCTTTAAGCAGAACGGTTAGTGTGTAATTGCTGACAATTTGGGGGGCGGGGGATATCGGCATTTAGTGGTTTGAGTGGCGCTTTTTTTTTTTTCTTTCTTTCTTTTTTGAATGCAGTACTAACAAGTGAGGACATCACATTCTTAGCCTTGAAGTTAGTGGCTTCATCTCCGACCTGACACTTGGATAACTGAGGAATAAGGAAGCTAGTAGAGTCAGTGATTTATGAGACTTTGTTATGAACTCATTCCAGTGATGGTGATAACTTGCCCAAAGGAATGTGTGAGAATGTGGATGGAAGTGAAGATGATAGCACACAATGTGATGAATATGACAAGACCAGTATTTTACCTTTTCATGTTAACACTGCCTTAAATGAAAATCGTTCCATCAGGACAGCTGCAAAGAATGATACAGTAAGTATCTCATTTTAGTCTTATTGTGATATTTTTAAGGATATAATCATGTGCTTGGAGATGTTATATATTATCATCATCAGCCTTACCATTGAGCCTTGGGTGCTGGCTCAGCAGTTTATTTTTTCAAGCCATCTGGTACCTCACTTCTTAATCATCCTGTTGCCTTTCTCTTCTCCTCTTACCCATAAATTTTCCTTTCTTACCTCCTCTCCTTTGTCTACGAGTCTCACTTGTTTTATTTGAATTGGTTTCTTCTTTGGTACATGCAGCATAACGCATCAGGAAGAACAACCCCTCACTTTGAATACACGTAAGCATACAGGGGACCATATATTAATGACCAAAGCCACAATAACAGAAGCACAGCAGTTTTCTCAACTGTAATTTTAAACAAGCCCTGATGACCATATTGGTTGAAACTTTTAATAAGTTTTACAGAAAAATGTGCTGCACATGAGATGGTGGGACCAGCAACATTTGATACTAAATAATGTACAGCAGGATGCTGCAATATCATATTATTATCATTTCAAGCTCAGTCACTGACCCGAGCATATCATTGAAATGTATGCATTACTGGTAGAGTTATGTTTCCTCCATTCATAACACCATAGCCCCAGTCACACTTCAGTATTGTCAGTTTGCCATATGGACAATAGAAGGCACAGAAATATTGCTGCTGGTACATTATACAGGGTGATTCACTCTGAGGAGGCTCAAAGTTAATAATTATAAATCACTTACTTACTCACAGAGCTGAGCCCTTGAGGAGCCACCAATTCTGCAGCAACTCAAGAATTTCCCAACATTTTATGGAACCCGAAGGTTTGTTACTGTGTTAACAAGAGCCCTCCACTGGTCCCTATCCTGAGCCAGATCAATCCAATTCATACCACCCCATTCTATCTCTCTATTCAGTATTAGAGGGGGTGAGTTTCCCCATGCACCACGACTAGTAGTCCGTTGTACATCCCCCTTTAATTTCTACTGTCACCACACCCTACTGGTACTGGTGCTCACTATCAGCCCCTTTCTGCCAGCGAGGTCGGCCCTCTTCTGGCAGTGGTACCCGATAACTTCCCCATCTACCGGAGGAATTGGAAACTACTTGGGCGGGAAACTTGTTTTTTTTTGCCTAATTTTGCTCAGAGGTCTCCTAGAGACATAGGATCTTTTACGTGCCGTAAATCTACGACACAGGACCCACGGCTTAAACTGGAATTCTAAAATCAAATTGACAAGTGTATGTTGGTGAGATTTTAAACAAAACAGATAGGCTGGTGTTTTAGATTTCGGGTTGTGTGCAGTGTGACAGCTACGTAATGAAAAGTACACCTGATGGCCAGTTACGGCCGAAACATAGTGTAGAGGAAGAAAAGACAAAGAACTACAACCAAATAAATTGTTGCATTCACGATGGCATTTGTATTATTACATATAGATTTATCATTCTAATTATACTTGGAGAAGAGTACAAGTTGTGAAGCTCCTCATTATGCAATTTTATCCAACCTCCTGTCACTTCATCTCTCTTTGGTCCAAATATTCTCCTCAACACCTTGTTCCCAAACACCCTCAGTCTCTGTTCCTCCCTTAATGTCAGAGACCAAGTTATAAATCACACAATAAATTATTGATGGAAATGAAACTTGGCAATACTGTGTACTCTGAAACATTGCCGTGGTGTCTAGCTGACCATTTTAAAGGTGACATGGTTTAGTGATGAGTTTGGTTATACCTGTTGGGATATGTCAGTTCACAAAATGCATGCATGTGAGCTGCTGCAGATCCAGTTTTTGCATATTCTGCAACTCTGTGATTTCCACATGTATGAAGCTATGTAATGACAAACTTTGGTTTTTAGCTGCAAATTACCGTGTTATTTGTGATTATTAATTTTGGACCTCATCCAAGTGAATCATTCTTTACATACATATAATCCATCAACACAACCTGTACGGCTGTTATTAACTGTACACAAGCTACATGTTTTGACCTTGTTGGTTGGTTTTAATTTCATTATTTTGGATGTTGGTGAGTGGTTCTAATATTGCTATGGATTAACTGCATTGGCTGCTGAAGGGTGAGATGGACAGAAGTGCTGCTGCTGCTGATGATGATGGTTGATTAAATTGTATTGACAGAGTATGTATTTAAATAACATAATGCTCAAGCATAGTATTTAATATACTGTTTGCAGTGTTCATAATTAAATAATTGGTGTCATGTCAAAGAACAGCATGACCAACTGACAGCACGTAAACCAACAGAGAACCGGTGGCAGCTGAATGGGAGCGGACAAAACTTGATTTCATCACTAAGGAAGTCTTCTGGAATTTACTGTTCTCATGAACTTGATGTAAGTCATGTGGTAGCATAGTTCCTTGAGGCACTATGCTACAGGTCAGAAGGTCGCAGGATCAAATCCCGATGAGATCGTTGGATTTTTTCAATTGATCTAATCCTTCCAACTGCACTATAGCCCTGGGGTTTGACTCAGCCTCAAACAGAAATGAGTACCAGGAATCTTGCAGGGAGGTGAAGGACAGCCGGCGCATAAGGTTGACAACCTCACCTTCATCTATGGGCTGATTGTCTAGAAAATGTGGGAGTCTTGCCATCTTACAACTCTATGGGCCTTCACAACCTGTTACAGGGCTAGCTTTACCTTTACCTTTCTTTTTTTTTTTTACTGTGAACTTGATGCTTTATTTCATTTTACTTTCAGGAGGAAGCAGTGAGTTGCTACTGTAGTGCATCTCATACTGACAACAACTATTCCACTGATGAGCACACACATGAACATGAACATGAACATGAACATGAACATGACAGTATAAAAGAAGGTGTGGGTGGAGTGGGCATTGCTCGTAGTGGCTTGCAGCTAAGCGACAGTGGGGCTGATCTGTCAGAATGTGGAGGAGACATTCAGTATACATCATCATCACCACCACGCCATGAGGATTGGGAACGATATTGGTCAGTTAATGGGGAAAGAATAATATGGCAAAGCTGGATTGCTAAATATGGCGAATATATCAATCCAGGTTACCTTAACAACTGTGACAATGCCGCGTTATCGGAAAGCAACGTTGCTGTGCCAGAAGGTGGCGCACTCAGTCAAATTGAAGGTCCTCCACTTGACGATTCTTCAGAAATCAAAACAAGCAAGTGTGATTTTTTTGATAAAGAGCATACAGCATTCCATGGACATGAGTCTGCCAGCTGTACTTACTCAAGTACATTCCAGTGTTCGTTCCAGAATAGTTTCCCAAAAGACAAACAAGATTTGTCTAAAAATATAATTTCATCTGATAGTTTGGAGACAGATGTAGAGCTTCCTTCCAAGAATGTGTTGGATGATGGTATCGATGAACAGTTAGGTCCAGAGACAAACAAGACTGAACTGCAAGGTTCCTTCGAACTCATGCTTCCAGCTGTCACAAAGACTGATGCTGAAAGTAGAGATGAAAAGTTGCTCATATCACCAGCTGGTGAAGATCCAGATACCAAAAAGGATATGCTGATGTGCATCAGTGAAATAAATCCAGCTGGCAGATGGAGTCCGTTGTCACCTTCAACTACAGATAGTTCTTCAGGTGATGGAAGTGCTGATGATAACAATGTGGCCAGTAGTGTCGCCAACACAGCATTAATGTCTGACTCGATGACAAATGTGACCAAAATCACAGTTTCGTCATTGGATTTCAGCTACGGAGATACAGAAGATTCAGTTCACAGCAGTTCTCTGTCATCTTCATCAGCCGGTTCTGGAAGCGTACCATGTGTGACAGATGACGCGGACCAGTACTGGCAGGAGCTCTGGAAGCGACACTTCAGCGAGCAGTACTATGCCCACTACAACGCTTACCTAGCTTGGGAGCAGGAGGGAGGTAATGAGGAAACTGAAGCCAGCACAACCAAAACTTCACACACCAATCTACCCTTATTTCAAGTTGGAGATGAATCTTCAAGTGCCAAACAAAATTTTTTTAATGAAGTGGAGTCTGATGTAGGTAATGTTTCTTCTAGTTGTATCGAGGATAATCTTAATTTAAATTTTATTGAAAATTTTCGTTCTATTAATGATATTCCATCAGCTGTCAATGCTGCTGTTAATAATGATTACTCATATTCTGGAGAAATAGAATTAGCACTTAAATGTAAGTCTTGCTTCTGTAAAGTTGAGGATACCAGCAAAGGATCTGAAACAAATGTATCTTGTTCATGTTCTCTAACAGTGACTAAGGAAAACTTCGAAGACGCACAAACTCTTTCATTCGAGGAAGATATTTTAGTTGCTGGAAAGATGGAATTAAATGTTGGAAATGATAAGAGTTTTAAAGGACTTAATGACATGAAAGAAGAAATTTCTGCAGTATTTGGAAATGTAAATCAACGCACACTCTCAGTTGATGATTCTTCAGCTTTCGGAAAGATGGAACTCAGTCCCGGAACAGACCATGGTCATGATGACTCAGATCACGAGAAGCAACGGCTTGTCTCCGTTGGCAGCTCAGATATGGTGGTGGAAGATAAAGAAGATAGTGAACAGGTGTGCACTATACCAAATGTTGTACAAGAGTCATCAAGGAATATCGGCACAGAACCACATCTACCTCCAGTACCAAAGACAGCCTCAGGAAGAAGAAGTAAATCGAGGTAAGTTATTTTGTATTTCCATAGCTGTTTAAACTTTATCCATTTATGGATCCTTTGGAAAGTAATGGATCTGAACATTAAAGTGGGGAAAATGTTGAATGTGGGATTCTTTTAAACTCAGGAACGTTAAATAGGGATTGCATTGGCTAATAAATCAAATGTCTATCCATGTTTCCATAATATTTTCATGGAAGAGCCAGTTTTAATTCCTGCAGTGCCAGGACACCGATTTAGGTTGTCAGCATTACTCTTGTTTCATGGCTACATGATGTTGTTGTTGTTGTTGTTGTTGTTGTTGTTGTTATTGGAGAGGGTGGGTTTCCCCATGCACTTAGACCAGATATTGGTCCATTGTGCGTCCCCCTGTGATATTCTACCAGTCTCTATACCCTACCAGTACTGGTGCGTGCCATCAGTCCTGACTCAGCCAGCGAGTTCGGCCTCTACTGGCTCAGCGGTATCTCGATGCTTCCCCCCTCTGCCAGAGGCGTTAGAGACTACTGTTGGGCGGGAAATGTCCTGAATTTGGCTCAGAGGTCCCCTTGAGACATGAGGTTCTTTTACGTGCCGTAAAGCTACGACACGGGACCCACAGCTTAAAGTCCCTCCTGGAGGACTTGTTCCCTGAATTTTTCTGCCCTTAAAAATTCCACGACCTCCGCCGGGTTTGAACCCGCGTACCTTGAGTCACGAGGTGGGAACGTTACCCCTAGACTATGGAGGCCGCTGCTACATGATTTATGTATAATCCCTAAGAAACAATGGAGACATTCCCTCTAAATGTCTCTTGGCTGTGTAGTTGAAATAAAATGCCTACTCATGTCACATGCTGTCATATTTAGGGATTTGTGTAAAAATTGAACCCTAGATTGCTAGGCACTTGTAGGGTTAAAGCACTTACATTGCATACAAAGAATGGAAGTCTCTTTAATTTGGTACAGTTACAGAGCACCTCAAAATGTACCCACAAGAAATATGGTAAAAAAAAAAGGTAAATGTATCCCTGTAACAGGCCATGGAGACTCACAGGATTGTGAGACTTTGAGGGTCCCCCATTATCTAGACCATCAGCTCACAGATGGCAGTAAGGCTGTCAGCTTTATGCACCAGCCACCCTTTACCCCCCAGGAACATCCCTGGTACTCATTTCTGTTAGAGGCTTAGTCAACCCCAGGGCCATAGTGCAGCTGGAAGGATTAGGTCAATTGGAAAAACTCCACCTCATCAGGACTTAAACCCGCGACCTTCCGGCTTATAGCATAGTGCTTCAACCAAATACATTTCATTGTCTTTAGTTCTGATTAACTTTGGTGATAATTGTATTTATTTGTGTCATACTGTTCTGCTTTTGCTTAGCCCTTCGAACAATAGCTCCAGAAAGTTAAGTCTTTCAGGATATGATACTGTGTAGTTCGATAGATGGGTACTGACATTTCAGCGGTCTTTTGCCCTGACTGAAGATAGAGGCAGTAAGTAGGTTGCTCCAAAATGTTTATACCTTTTTACCAGACTACAGAGCATCACATTGCAGAAGACTGTAACCTTGATATTAATTGCTGTGAAAATCTCATATCTCAATAAATTTCTACTTACAGCCAGTTAACTTCAAGGCAGCTGACACGCAAAGTCAGAAAATGTATTTGAGAACTGTGCTCTTCGTAAGTTTAAATATTTTATGTACAGGGGGCATATAAATTTAAAATTAAACGTTAATAGTTGTGGTTTTTTATTCAGGCTTTTCATGGACTCTGTCGGCCAGTTGATACAGAGTCTCAGCATGTTGGATTCTCAGCCGTCCGACCCGATAGAACCTTGTGATGATTGTAGTGGTAGTCATGGTGACAGCACTGTAGCTGATACAAAAGGGCATGAGAATTCTGAAACAAATACAAATTCATGCAGGCACATGGGCAGAAGCGCGTTCTCACAGGTCTCTGGTGAAACGGGTTCTGGAGATGAACCTCCAGAAGAGAGACCAGTAACTCTGAAACGAAGGTAATTGACTACTGCCGAAGAATGTTATATGCTTGCTTTATTTCTCTATTTCTATGCCTTTATGACCTCCACCAAGTACTCTAATATAAAGGTTACCACTTACAGTTTTGGTTTGAGATGTTTCAGTTTCAGTATTCAAATAAGACAAGCTTCTAAGAGGTGCACTGTACTCCCCGCACCCTCTAGCTATATAAATCATAGTTTAGTTTCTTGAGGTGGGGTGAGACTGAGTCCACTTGGTACATCGGCCAGCCCCGGATGATAGATGATGAGTGTGGAGCAGTCGATGGAACAAGAATTGGCAGGGGAAACCGAAGTACTCAGAGTAAATCTGCCTCAGTGCCACTTTGACAACCACAAATCCCGCATGACGTGACCTGGGCTTGAACCCGGGCTGCCACAGTGGGAATCTGGCGACTAACAGCCTGACCTATGGCATGACCTATATAAATCGTAACATGTAACTAAGTGCAGTGAATGTTATTGCAGCCATGAAAGTGACTCAGAGGAATCTGGACTGGATCGGGTGAAGAGTGCATTTACGCTCATGGGCCTGGCCTTCGCCCCTAACAAGCAGAGCACTTCTTCAGACTCATCAAGTAGTAACATGTCCTTGCCACCAAGCATTCACCGTGGATCAGTTCTTTACAGGAAGCGTAACATTCGCGACCAAAATCGTCAACTGAAGATGAATATCCATCAGCGTCGAGCACAGAAGCAACGTCAATTACTGGCTTCAAGTACAGTTACATCTGCACTTGACAGGGTAATGCTTCTGGCTTTATCAGTAGATTCACTGTTGTTTAAAAATTGTTCTTAATGTCTTAGTTGTTTGTAATTTCACTTCTTCTTCTTCTACTGAATTCCTTTTGCTCCCACTTGGATCATAGGTCATCCGTGAAATGCTTCATTTCACTTCAGTTTCTTAATCTTAGACAGTTGGTAGATCTCTTTGGAGGGGGGATCAGCCCAGTGCAAGGCCACTACCTAACACAAACACAGAATAAACATGGACAGACATCCATGCCTTGACTGGGATTCAAATACATGATCCCAGTGTTCAAATGAGCGAAGACATTTCTTGCCTCAGGCCATGTGTTCACTGTGATTAGCTCTAATTTCAGTATACTTCAGTTAGTCGCATGAATAATTAGAGGATAGACATAATATATTGAAACAAAAGAATTCTTGCTTGTTATTGACATACTGCATAACCCGACTTTCATGAAATGTGTTAATGCTTGACAATTCATTGCTGTGGGAACCCAGTATTATGTAATTTTAGAGCTGTTACCACAGTTACATTATTTATATGTATAAAGATTTAATATAATAGAGAGTAAGGGTTTTGAGACGAACTCTGCCTATGGGTCAGAGTCCTGATCTGAAGAAGAAAAGAACCGGTTTCCAAAAATATTATGGTTCGGAAAAATTGATTAATTGACAGTATGAAGATTGTCAGTCAGAAGACTGTTGTACATCATCCTCAGAAATCTTTAGCCTTAACAGAATCATGTACTTGCAAGTAGGGAATGGCAGTTTTTTTTAAGATGTGGTAATCAAACAAATATTTTAGTCACAAGAAAAAGGTGATCATATTTTCTGGTACTGTGTTCTGGCTCTCACTTCCAATCAGCATGCAAGATTCATGTCTTTTGTTGTTCTACTGTCTATTGCTAAACACTTGCAAGCCAAGCATATGATAGTGGGAAAAGTTTGAATTTAAAAGAGGTGTTATGACATGCTAATTCCGCTAATCTGAACATCTTTGGACCAAACAGGTCGGTCTAGAATTATCACTTTTACTTGTGTTTGGGAGGTGCTTGTGTAACCGATTACTCCTTTTTAGTAATATACTTCACCTAATTTATGCATACTTTCATTTTTATGTAATTATTGTATCTCAACAAAACCCAAAATATGAATTTAAGGGAATTGCATATATTATCACGTATTTGCCATGTGCCATACATTGAATGGGGATGACTCAACGTCTTATGACTCCTTATGAACTCGTGATTCAGTCTTTCTTTGTCTTTATAATGCATGATGCAAGTCCCAAGAACATATAGCCAGGGACTTCACAGAGGTACTTCCCAATATATGACCAATGAAAAACGCCTGCTACTCTATGATGTCATGTTTAGTGGCAGCAGCGTGATAGCGCAATTCTTTGTCCCAAGACAGACGAAGCCTAGTATCTGAAGGGTCCAGATGCGTGATCGCGTCATTCCCCAAAGTGGGAACAAAAGACTTTATATAGTCCCAAGTTAAAGAACAATGTAAATAACCAATTAAATAAAGTGTTGTGTTGTGAAAGTTTGTCACGAGTTTGTCTGACCACCTTTGTTAGAGCCAAGGCTCAGTTAACAGCCCTTGTAAAAGTCTCATGTTCCCAGGACTGGGGTGGCACCCAACAGTCATAAAGATGAGGTTACATCGTCATCAAAGGCAGCTGCGGCCGACTTGACTTTCTCCAGAGAGCGGCTGCGGCCACCTTCACCCCCAACTTGTGTCGATTGCTACACTTTGTTCGAATCTCAGATGGGATACCAGCTCTCCTGACAGGAGGGTTTCTGCAGTTTTCTTAGTCCATCCAGGAAAGTCTCTTAATGAGACCACAGTTGCTTCATTTCACTTCCATCATTCATGAATCATTCTGTCATTTGAGGCTACATGGGGTTGATACCGAAAGGGTCGTAGTAAACCCACAAGAAGAATAATTTCTTTGTGTGTGTTTTGTTATTTTCTATATGCCACGAGAGACTGAGTTAGGTTGCCGCAACTTCTAAATGCCAAGAGGTAAATTGGTCACTGCTGGCGACCATAATTTTAGGGCACTTCTTACAATCATGAGAAGCAGAACTTCCCAGTGAGAGATGAAACTGTATGTTCTGTTATACAGGCAAAACAGTTCCTGGAACAGGAAGTGCAGCACACTGCTCAGGATGCAGCTGTAAAGGCAGCGCTATGCTACGATATTCATTCCAGCTCCGACGAAGAGCAGCTTCCTGAACCCCCCCGATCCATCAGCTCTTTGAACAGGTATTTCATATTATAATAAGTAGAACTTGCTTGTACTGGAATCTCAAAGGCTCCACCTCAGTTTCTTGAAATGTTCTGTTTGTATGACGACCGCCTCTGTGGTCTAGTGGTCAGAGGTCCTGGGTTCGATTCCCGGCGCTACCAGATTTTCTGAGAAGTATTGGGGCTGGAATGGGGTCCACTCAGTCTCATGAAAATAACTGAGAAGCTGTTACAAGAAAATAGAAGCTCCAGTCTAGAAAACCGAAATTTATGGCCTTGGGGATTTGTTGCGCTGACCACGCAACACCCTCTATCCACTAAAGATGGCACCGACAAGCGGCGGTCGCTCGATCGGTATAGTTTGCTTG